GCCTAGAAGATGGGCATGGTCAAAAGGTGAGCTGTCATGGCTTATAAAAACAGAACAGATGACCAACACAGTCACATGATAGAGAAAGAAACAGCAACAAAGGAGAGAGCTTCTCAATATTCATCTAAATATAGAAACTCTTTGCACTACTGATGGCATAACATGGGGTAGCCTGTAAGAAGGTACTGAGTCATTGGACCAACGTGTTGCAAAGGCACAAATACACACTAGCCAGCATGACACCCTGCAGCATCCTCCTGCAACAACTCTCAGTGGACACATAGGCAGATCAACAAAAGGTGCTTTGGCCCACTAGTTCACTTCAAAAAGCTGATACAAATTGGTTGTGCAGACATACTGCCAAGTGTTCATTCAAATGGTGACCAGCTGTCTGTGATCACTTAAATAATCATAATAGGGCAGAGTATCAAGAAAACTTAGCAGGTCACTTCTATCGTGCTTGGCCCACAGACCTCAGGACTACCACATTTTAAACTCCAAATTTCTAAACAGGCAAAAGAACTACTGAAGCTGTCAATTTATCTCCATGTTCCTTGTTCCTTCCTCAGCAGAATGGGTCTCACATAAGATTCCTGGTTTTCTGCCTTCCTTGTTTGCTGCCAGGGAGCAGGAAAACACAAAGCAATGTGAAATTGAAGGGCAAACAATACAGGCCTTATAGAACTAATCTTCTGAGGTAATAAAGTATCAGTGCCGTCTTTATAGCAAGAGCATAGCAACAGTCATAACAAGCAGCAATGAACACCAGGGTCCATTAGACATGTTAGCACGCACACAAGGTACTTGTAGCGGTTACAGATATCCTAGTGCCCAGCAAGCATCTATTTACGGTCCTAAAATCAACCACTTGCCATCAGCCAAAAACTTTGGGGAATACAACAGAAAGCTTTACACCTGCCTCAGTTTTGCTATGTTCTTACCTCTTCCTCAGCCTAGGCAGATACTGAAGCAGGTGATAAATCCAAAACCAGTGTCAAGCTAGCAAATACTTTGCCATACTCACATGGGCAGGGTCTCTGGGCTTAAGAAATTAAAAACCCTGGTGTTTATAGGCAGAACCCTTTTTCCCCAACAGTAAGTTTCTAAATAAGGTATTTCATGATGGAAGGCAAATATTTTATCCAAGCTGGAAACAGCCTTGGAAGCAAACAGATAGATGCAGTTATCTAGATGCTCAAATAAGAAGAGCTATCTCTGAAATGATCTGTATCATTGCTGGGGGGAAAGAAAAAAAAAAAAAAAAAAAGAGAGAGATATACAGATCATTAACCTTTGAGACTGACACCATATCAACTTGGCAAGAAACTATCTTAACAAGTAAGGCCATAATCAGTGTTTAGATAGAAACTCTAAGAACAGTGGCACTTGCTTATATTGTAGCCCTGTGGAAAGGAAGTCTAAAAGCTCTGGGCTGAGAAAAACTGTGACTGGAAAAATGTAAAGAAGGCAACTTAATACTGCAGACTAAAAATTCTTCACTTGATTTGAAGTTTCCTAAAAAACAGTCAGGAGGTACAACTGATGTAACTTAATTTCATAGAAACAAAATCTGTATTCCTACCAAGCCTGCCCTAGCAAATGGCGTTTTTCTACAAAAGTATCTGTAATGGACCTGTGTCAAGATGCCAGCACACTTCTGGCAACACCAACTGCAGTAGGTGATTAGAATTTATGCTGTGTAAAATTAACTTTTAGATTAAATGAAAATTATGAACCAAAATGCAAAAGCATTTATATGGCAATTCACCTACACCATTTATTTAAAGTGTCAAGGCAAGTGAATATAACGCAGTGCTCTGAAGAGTTCACAGACTAATAGTTCTGGCTATTCCAGCAGCTTCTGTTCCAGCCCCACAGCTCTTCCCCCACCACAAACACGAGGTGTAAATATGTGAAGCCACTGACTTAACGAACTACTTTCATTTCTTAAGACCAAGTGAAGAATAGTAAGGGAAAATTAGAAAATATTACCTACAGAAAACTGAAAAAACTCCTCCTGTAAAATCATCAGGAATAGGAAACCATACGTTCTGCCAGATCAGTCAAGAATTTTTCTTGAAAACCTGTATCACAGGAAGCTTATGAGAATTGAGTGAAAGCATGCAGCATCTTGCAAGCTTGAAACATAAGTATTTTACTATTCCTATTATTTTGGTGATATATTTCACCAGAGTAGAATGATTTTCTGAACAGAATATTGCCAGTTCAGATCTACATTTCAATTTAATTCTGCAACCTAAACCAATAGGCTGCTGCTGATAATGCCTACTTCCAGGTTTTGCAGAGTGAGATTCTAAAGTTATGATAAAAAGAAATCTAAATATACTCCAAATATCTACTGTCAAGGCACCATCAGACTTCTAAACTCTAGCATGCTGCTTGTTGCATAAAGCTGTGAAGCATGAGGGTTTACATTCTTTTGAAAGAAACTGTTTCCTCTGATCTAATGTAACTGTGCATGTTCTCATATATATATACAATTCATTTTTTTAATCCTACTAAGTCCCTGGCTTCAATATCTTGAGGATTGAGTTTGCAGTTGGCGCATGTCATAAAAAGCATTTCCTGTTATCAATTTTAAAGGCGTTGCCTTTAGTTTTCATCACATTGTCCAAATCCTTGCAAAAATTACAGTTATGTACCCTGGTTTATGCATACCAACTTCTGAAATAAAGAATCCCAAACATACTTCATTTGCTCTTCACCACTCACTACCCACTTATCTTTTACCTGACCTATCTTCTTTTGACATGGGAGAGACAAGGATGAACACTGCAATTCAGAGTGGTGATAAAGTCCTGATCAGTGTTACGGGATTTTGTTAAGCATTCCATACTACCTCTTTTTCGTGGCACTGTGACTTCCGATACCCACTGACAGAAGTTTTACTGCACTAGCCACAGAATTTCTCCTGACAGTTGATTAACTGCGTATGAGTAAACTGGTATTATCCCACCCAGTACCTACTTTGCTGTATTTGTAAACATCGGCCGCTTCTTAAGTTCTGCCTATGGTCCACTGCATTTCCACAAAGCTTTAAGTCCTGCATAATCTAAGTCGCACCATTTCCACCTCATTTTGCTACTGGAACATGTATTCTTTTCTCCCATTTATTTGGTGTTAATCAGTGGCCCCAATAGAGCTCTGGCACAATTTGTTATCAATCTCTATCATTTTTTATATTTAGCATTTATTCCTGTTCTCTTCCCCTCTTATGTAATTTCCAGTGCTTCACAGTCCACCTTACGGCATGCTTTATTTTTATGCTACCAGGTTCTCAGAGAACTTCAGGCTTTGTGAACATACAAATAAACATCAATTCCATCAGATTGTGCTATCATCTTTTACAATAATTCTAGCAGATTAAGGGGCACATTTTGGGTTTTTTTTAACAAACATATCATTTAATAGACTATTGAAATTTTTCTTTTTTAAATTTAACTTACTACTTTATCCAGTTATCTGTTCACTTCAGAAGGTTTGAGTTCATTTCACCGGATTTCATTCTTATGCTTCTGTTTTACGATACAGCAACTGTTGCCCATGTAGGAAAATCAGCTACTTTCTTTTTAAACTTCTTCAGGGCTTCTGGCTGAATTCCACCTGGACTTGCTGATGTAACAATTTCTCTTCAGTTTGTACATTTAAGTATTGTCTCCTTTTTTGGAATCTAAATTTTTTTTTTTTTTTTTTTTTTTTTAAATCACATTAAAGTGTTTCAGCATCCTCTGTGGTAAGAGCTGCAGAAGTACAATGACATTTTTGCACTGAAGTCCTTGCCCCTCTTTAATCAGGAGTATTTTCTCAAAAAAACCAACCCACCACCAATAACTGTAAAGACTTAAAAGTAATTTCAGATACAAAAACCAAAGCAGGACTATTTGCAGTAAAGATACATTTATCCTGCTCTAGAAAGTGGCATGTTTGCTTACTTACGTTACAACATTGTGAAGTCAATTTCATTTGAAACAGTGAGCCAGCTTCCCCCTTCTGTGAGTCACTGACAGAGTAGAAAGAAATAAAACTGTCTGAAAAGAGCAACATATGACAGCAAAAAATCACAGCACTATGATAACTAAAAGTAACTTAATTCTATGATGACTCTTTACTCTTTGAAGATCTGTATCATATTCTGTATTTGATTTGCTGTGTCAGTCCCCCTCTTAGTTCTTATTTTCTACTTTCTACATGTAAAATGCCAAATGTAACACCTTTTTTTACTAGCTTCCTATTGGTTGGATTTTATTTAATAAAGAATACTTCCTAAAAGGAACCTCATATCTTGCTATTTCATCCTGGTCCTGTCATGCATTCCTACTTCTTTTCTGTTTAGGGAAAACTGGTTCTTTTTTTAATATATAATTTTAGTAGAAATACTTTCACATGGAGCTATCTCCTCTCAAGTTGTTCTTCTGGCATAGTATCAAAGGAATAAGGTAATTTTTGTCACCACCAATTAAAAAGTTTTACGAAACAGGACCGTTATAAAACAATTAAACCTTGCAAATGCAGTAGTCTCTAGGAGGGAAACCCTGGAGGAAATTCTGCTTATTAAAATTGCAATTTTAGTTTCCATTAAAAAGGAGAATAAGACAACAGAAGATGGGCTGGCAAGACAAATTATTTCTTAATGTCAGTTGAGCTTATTTCAAATGAGATAACATATCTACACCAGGTTGGGTTCAACACATTTTTGCCTCCTCAACTCATTTATCTAATTCAGTCATCTTGATTATAGCCTCATGGACCTTCATTTTCAGAGGAAGAATTTCGTAACAAACAACCTACACAACATGCTGATTACCGAACAGTTAATTCTAATTAACTTGGCTATGGCAAGAGAATTTTGATAAAGTCCTAGAATGCAAATACAGTTTGGTTATTCTGGCCAAACTTCTATAAAATAAAAACTCACAGCAGAGTCTCCAGATGAGACATCACAGTGATAGGGATCTAATTTAAAGAAACAAATGAGAAAATTAAAACCACAAATAATTTATTCTTCCGTTAGAATTGATGGAGTACAGTTTTAAATAGCAACGAAGTACACAGTGGTGGAAAATTGGCACAGAACCTACAAGCATTTCATTCATAATAATGTTCCTCATGCCGTATCTGTTCAAACCTTGGTGTGTATTTTGTATCGACTTTAAGAAAATTGTTTTCCCTTTAAAAATTATGAACAAATTGAAAATCTTGCCTTCCATGTATAATGTCACACATATGAACACCAGTTGGTTTTCCTTTCTTCCCCCCATCACCAACTGAAAAAAAAGATTATTTTACTCCTGGGCTGATTTTAAGTTTTGTCCTTTATAAAAGTTGCCAGGAATTCTTGAATGCATATATTCCTGCCTAACAGAATATCCATTTATTTATCTGATATACAGTTGCAGGACAGTCTCAAAACCAATTTTTTGTGTACTATGCTATTGATCAAGGTGCTGCCTCTATCTCACATGCAACACTACAAGCATTAATGCAGTTCAAAACAAAATTTGGCATTTACCTCACCAACAGGTTTTATATTAGATGTTATAAAACATCCCTTGGTCTCATGTTAACCAATAAGAAAAATGGACACACACAAAAAATGCCCCCTTTCTAAAGATATTAACTCCCAGTTAGGAAAGTTTAGATAGGTTTTACAAAGTCTTCTAGGCTATTTTGATACATACAATTTATTCAACTAAAGGTTAAAATACACTTATACAATACAGTCCTGTCCTCCATATTTTTTTTCAAGTTCTTTGCATATTCAAGCCAAGTAAAATTAACACTTGTCATTTTCTTTGTTATTGCAATTATTAAAAGGGATTACAGCTTGCTTATGCAAAGCTGTGACAAAACACTTGAGAAATAAAACCCAAACGTTTATCTTGTTACCCAAAAAATGTTGCAGAAAATTGTCAAACTATGTTAGAAACAATTTTTACAAAAATGCTTCACTCAGAAAAATTGGAAAGCTTAAAAAATTAATCTCTGCACAAGACTATATTATACTGTCCTTAATTATGTTCCCACTTAGATAACTGGGATTTTTATTCTTTGTACATGAACCTATCAGTGATGTACGATGCTCTCCATCTTTTTTTCCACTGTTATCTTTATTGTACACCATTTCAAGACTTATACAATCAAGCACTTATCACGCCCCAACCCATTTTTAACAGTAGATTTCTTATCCTGTCCAGCGAGTAGTGTACTGTCTTGCATATTCACCACATGAAAAACATAATATACAAAATATTGCTGCTGTAAAAAGTGTGCATTTCCCCTTTGCCCCTACAAAAAAAATCTGTGGAAAAAATATTAAATTCCCATAACCTTCATAAACATACGAAGCTGTTCACACCTTTCAGTCTGTAACAGTCTATTTGATATATAGTTCTCAACTCACTGCACATTGTTATGTCACATATTTTCTGTCCAATATTGCCATCTAGAGTAGAGATGTGAAATCAGTTTCTGAGAATCACAGTCTTTAACAATTAACCCATAAAGACTGTATACCATAAAACAGCCACAAGATTTTTCCAAAAGCTAGATGGAATGGTAGGTTCTCATCTTGGGAAGATGTCCACAGTGCTGAGGAGACAATATGGCTGCTAATAGATATTGCCTACCGGAATGTGAATACTTTTTCACTGTTGATAATTTCCATACTGACCCTAAGAAAGAAATTCAAAATACTTAATTAGACCACAAGGCATATTTTCTTGTATTAAAAGCTGAAATCAGAAGACCATCCAAATAAACTGTGATGTTAAAAGGTGGCAACAAATAGCAGTAAGTGATAAACCAGTATGACTAAGTGGTACTGAGTTTCATCTCACTAAAAATCCTTTGTGTTCCAATGTAAAAGTAAGACTGATGATACAGATTTAAAGCCAGGAACCTAATTTGATCAGAACAGTATATCTTTAAACTCAACAGACTGCTGTGGAATTTTCAGAACACCGTCAAAAATAAAATACAGGAATTACTTCCCACCTAAACTTTGAAAACTATTTCAAAAACACAAGGTCACCTAAATTCAAAGTAACTTACGAAACTAACCTGCTTTCAGAGATACCTAAAAATATTCATATATCAAGCATCACAGAATGGACTGATACATGTATCTCAAAAATCAAGGCACATCCCAGTGAACATACAGAACCAGTCAACATATCCTATGCGAATCAATTATTCCACAGATCTGATATATAGAATTATTACCCTCATTGATATTCTCTATTTCTTTTGACAGAACATCATGTACTGCAGAGGAGGGCAGAGGTGAAAGCATCAATGCTGTATGCTTACCATTATCCTTCACCACAGGGTTCAAGGCTTGCTGAAACAAGTAGTGTGCTATAAAGTGAACGTTCTCCAAACTGTGGTCCCACCACCATTCCACGTTAATTACCATCATGATAAGGCAGTATTTTAAATTCCAGTTTTATGTTGCAGTGTCAGTTTTTTCCATTGTAATATGACAATCAGTGAGGAAGAAGAGTTTCAGAATAGCTGTCAGATGAGAATTTAAACAGCACAATTCCTATGGCAATGGCTAGTATGAAAGAGTGGAGAGGTCTTCTATAATTGAGTTTCCCAGTGGAACTTAGACTGCACAAACTGGAGAACTAGAGCCTATCTACAGAGAGGGTTATCCACTTCTACTACAAAGAAAGCTGGAAGAAACTCAGCAAACTGAAATTAAGTTTCCTTGATCCTACATTTGCCACAAGCAAAGCATTTTCCTGTAGCTTACTATTTGCAGGAGGAAGCTATTAGTTCAGTGCATAGGCATTTTGTTTAGAATGTCTAAATAAATCAGAAGTAATTGCATCTCTGAACTACCACACTGAAAGAGTTTGTTCGTTCTTCCTTGTCTTTTCTAATTTCTGTAGAAAGGAACCCAACTGTTCTCCTTTAAAAATGCAGGCAATGGTGGCTATTCTCACTTCCAAGGGAAAGTTTTTCTTAAAAGTTCAACTGATCTTCTACTGACTTATCAGGATTTTATTTAAACACTAGAACCTCAACTTGATCATAAGGTATATTTAGTTACTCTCCATTTTATTTATGCCAAGAAAATTAATACTGTACGTTTTAATGACATTTCTGAATTATTTGTATTGCAAAGATTAGATTTTTGCAGTTTAGTACCTTCTACAGGAAAAAAAACCCCTCTGCTTCATCCTTTAATTAGAAGACAGGTTTTTTTACAGGAGTCCTCCACTACAACTCTAGCTTAGAGTTTTGGTGGTTCTTGTTTGTTTGTTTGTTTTAAACGTATCTTAGTAGTGATAGGAAAACAGTTGATTTTTCAGGTCACTTCTTTCCCATGTTCAGTGTTCCTTTATACTGCTCAGAGAAAATCTGGGCAAAAATAGGCTTCATGTCTCCCCACAGGGCTCTACAGTAGAGGGACTTCAGCTGCACACCTGAGGTGGTTCTGCAACTGGAGAGGAGATTTACTAAATTTGCGTCTGTGGAAAATCAATTAAACCATTTTTATTGCAAAGTAGTAATGGAGAATGACCCACCGTGAGATTTAGGAACCTCACCTTTCACATCAGTCATTCACCATGAGGCTATGAAACAGATCAGCTTAATTTTTAAGGTCCAAAAATATTGTCTGGGGTGCTCCAGACAAATGATTCTGGCTAACTCACCCAGAAACAAAATCCATGAGACTTGTATATACACACCTGAGAGACCATGTCCTCAAATTCTTTAGTCTGAATGTCCACAAGAAACTAAGGTTATCAAATGAGTGTGTAAGAACCACAACTTTCTCATCAAATGAAAGAATACCTGGTCATATCCATAAGGCCTCTGCTGTGGTGGCTGTGGTGGCCCAGGCTGTGTGGGTCTGTATCCCCCATACTGCTGGCCTTGTCCTTGTGGATAATTGGGATACTGAGGTCCTGGACCACTCTGGGAAGGGCCTGGAGATCATTAAAATGTAAACAAAAAAGAAAAAAAGATCGCTTAAGGTGTTAGGAAGAAGAGAACAGTAAAAGCATTGAATTTGACAACTGAGCAGGGCTAAGAAGTATCACTACTGTACAATTAGGTCTTTTCCTAGCTAAAAACATCATGGATCAGTGGTCCTCCTCTCACCCTGGAAAGCACCTGAACTGACAGGGCCTGTGCTCCAACCACAGAAACATTTACCTATATTCATTACTATTATTCATTCATGTACCAATGCATGTAGTTCCACACGTGGTCATAGGACAGGGAAGAACAAGGCAAGAAATGACAAATCATAAATAGGAGCACTTTCCAGGATTTAGGGAGGCACACTCTCCTCCTGCTATATGCTGCTCCAGTTCCAGAACTTTATAACGCCAGGAACAGGCAGACGATCAGCCACGTTTAGCATTTGGACCTTTTGAAGAGACGAGCAGCGCTGCACTGCCAGAAAGTCAGTTCCACAGCAGGCACACACCACAGCAGGCAATCATAAATGGGATGTCAGGCAAGTAAGTTACATGCATAAAATGGGAGATGTGACAACCCGTAAATGCTACTGTGGTATGGAAAAAAGCACCCTCTACTCCATACTCCTCTGGTCATCTTAACTTTCCAGGAAAAGGATAGGAAACAAAAAAACCCAAAAACTTTGGCTCCAGCCTTTTTTGGCTGTAAAAAGAAGCAGTTCTTTTGTCAGTACAAACTCTTTCTGTTACTATTCACAGGGACTCAGCCTGTCTACCACTGGAAGCTGCACGTTACTGCTGTCAGACAGCACACACATGTTCCAAACAAAATTAACTTCATCCTCTCCTACCTTGGGAGAGGTGGTGTACTGTGTATTTCAGTGACGCTCCATACAGATCTTTTGCAGAGGATCTAAGTTAGCTTTTTCAACACCACCTCTTAAAAACTGGCAGAGTCAGGAAGATTTGCAACTCTTCTGAAGTGCTTTGTTTTAAACAAACCAACATTTTTGTTTGTTTGTTTGTTTGGTCCCCCCCCGCCCCCCCAAAGAAACACATGTTTTGGCAATAATGTGATTCAGTGCTAGAGTGGGCTAGTTTTAGATACAGGCACTGGGCATTAAGATGGCATCGGCTGGTAACTCTTTCAGTAAATTCTGGATCTGTAAGACAGTCAAAAAGATGACCTGGAACCATAGGCTATTACCGTTCTCCTCAGGCCTCAAATCCCCTTGAACTATGCAGTTTCAGCTTTCTACAGTGGAACAAAACCTTAAAGACTGATAATAATGACTGGGATGCTGATTTTTTTTTTTGCAAATTAGAAAGCAATTCAATATTAAATTGAGCAAGGATACTACATCCTAAAAAGTGCTGTGTTCATCTAGCAAATGAAATTTGTTTTTATTTATTTATGGTAATTCTTTATAGTTGAAATCTAAACATTCGGTGTCAGATTTTATAAAATACAAATGGAACTTCAATACCTATTTCTGCTAAAACAGAAATCGAGAAGTATGCTATTTGGGTTTACAAATTACAGTGGGTAAGTCACTCCAACAGATTTCTTCATCCCTTTCCTCTCGTATTTCTTAACCTAAATTTTCAGAGTAAGTCAGATTTTATTTCTTTACTTACAAAATTTAGAATAGTGAGCTAGATGGACCTTCGCTCTGATATTCATTCTGTTCCTATATTACGTTTAGCAGAATATAAGTACATGAATATTATTTTAGAACTATCCATTCATCCATAACCTCCAAAAGAAGAAAACTTGCTAAATCTCAGTGGATCCTCTTAAAACTTAACTCTGTCTCAACATAACTGGATTTAACATAAATCTGGCATTTATCTACATCGCAAACAAGTCAGCCATGCACTACCTCGCATACCCACAATGCTGGAAGTTTTAGCACTTAAATCTGCAACAAAGCTAGAAGTTAAAATATATGGAATTAGATTTCAGAGATTCTTCCTTCTTCCGAGATAAATACGTACAGCTTTACAACATGCAAGCAAGTAACACTTAAAAGCGCAGTATTTTCAGTATGCTCTTCTGACCTCAAGTTTTCAGAAGTAATACACAACAATTACATTCTACTATTTTAAGTTTCCTGTGTGGGAGGTTTTCCTTGAATCCAAGGACTACCTTGTCTCACTTGTGGCAGAGGATTTCTCATTCCTGCCATACATCAGAAGGTTTGCACTACTAGTGCAAATTTATAAGACAAACTCCTTTGAAAACTGCATTGGCAATGCTTTTATATTCATTTCCTTACTGATCAGTACAAGAATTTTAAAAGAATGATTCATGTATATTGGATGAAATTTTAAATTAGTTTTTAAAAGATTTTGTTCTAAATGGCAAATCCAAGGATGAAAGGGTATAAATGGCTCTTTGCTATCTTTGTGCCCTCCTGACTGTGGTCACGTACACACAGGACAGAAAATAGCAAATTCTAAGTCTTTCTAAATTACAGACACCTGTTATAATGTTGTCCAGTCACCTTCGGTTTTCTGCGCTACCACACTGTCCTAGATTGCCAACAGACCCACTTCCCAAAACATGCTGTCTTCTATGCTGTCTTGTTTTGGCCCAGTGAAATTTCAGGCATACAGCCTTTTTGCACAAGGCTGGCCTTTCAACCCAGTAAAACAGGGACGCAATAACATATGAGAATCTTTCTTAGTCTTTTCTGTGATTGCTGTCTGCATCTTCAGGTTCTTACCATAACCCTGCTGTTGTCCTGGATAGCCTTGTTGGCCTGGATATTGCTGCTGTTGTGGTGGATAACCCTGCTGTTGAGGTGGTCCTTGATATGCATCTTGCTGCTGACCATATTGCGAGTTTCCTGTAAGATGATTGCAAGAAGGCAAAAACTTATAAAAATACCTACTTTATTAATTTTTTTCCTTCTAAGATGCACAGCCAACAACACAAGAACAAAATGAAAATGCAATATTGATTTCAAAAACTGAACAAAACGAAGAAAACTCAAACCAAACAGAAGGAATTCGGCCAAACAAACTGCAGTTAAAGCCAATTTTGCAAAGTTGAACTGCAGCATTTTCAGCATCTCTGCCAAACGAGCATTACATTTACTGGAACATCACAGTCATAAGATCATGACTATACTAAATAAAATTAAAAAAGACGAAATTAAGGACAGCTACAAGAGCACAGACTAGCTACACAAGATCAGCAAGCTGTTTCCTAACAGCACTATAATTATACAAAATATATACACACACAAAAAGATATACAACTGAACCAACAAATTTATGTTTAAATAAAAATTTCCATTGAGGCAAAAAAAAAAAAAAATCTAGAGTGTTTTAGTCATTTTACTGTTGTTAGAAATGGCAAATTGTGGTTATATATTTTAGGTGTTTGCAAGAAATTATTCTGAACGCTTCAAGTTCCCTGCAATTTTCAAGACAGCCAGCAACTAGTATTCTACAAGAGCTTTGCATGGGTATAAGTCGTGTTGTGCAAGAATTTTTGTTCCCGTTGCGGGTGGGGGAGGAAGGGGAATGTATGTGCGTATGTGTGTGAAGGTATATAGATACCTCCTTCGTAGTAATGTTGTGAGGAATCCTCATAAGGCCTATCGTAGCCTTGTTCAGGATACGACGGTTGCTGATAACCGTAATCATTATGACCTACATCAATTCGACAAGAGACAGGAAGAAACGTTAATGGCCTCTGAGTGAAAACCCTAAAAATATTTCATTTCTCAGAAAAATGAAAAAAAAAATTTCAACTGGATATACATGAAAAGGAATTTTCAATTGAATTAGCCAAAGATCTATTAATATGGTTTCCTTTCATATTGAACTAACATGTGACAGGAAAAAAAAAAAAGGCTTAATGCAGTAGTTTTAGCAACATTACAGCAAGGGATGGTCTTAAC